TTACTTGCCTCTCTCACTCCAGTTTGTGACACCTTTAAAGTCTGACACAAGAAAAAAAATAGTCAGAAAAAGTGTTGTCTATTCAGACCACATGCCCACATCTTTTTATAATCCCAATCCCATCTGAATAATTAAGTGAAGGCCCTTTGAAACTGAGCGAGATGCGGAAAAGTGATGCGAATCGCTGACAAATGGTGAGCGCGAATTGATCGCTGCCTGCTAATTCACACCTGCACGCTCATATATGTGTCTCGTATATGGCATTAAATTAAGATAAAGTTTGGTTCCACACCAGAAATGCAGATCTATGATGCTTACAAGAATACATCTTCAGATATAATTAGAGGTACAGTTAGCATCAAGCTACACTTCAAAATCCACTTTAAACTATCATTGAGTGCTTGTAATAACTTGCGATTTTGATCTAAAGTGGATTTTGATTCTATAATAGGCAGACATGCACTCTTTGTATGTTTTATAATAGATTGAACACTACATCTGCTTATCATTTGTCATAAACATCCTTTATTGCTATAGAAATACCATGAGCTGCATAAAAAACGTACAGAAAATGTTTTGTCATAATCACGTCTATTTGCTTTCATATTTCATGAATAGAAAAATGTTTCTCAATTTTTTTTATATGCGTAAGGGCAGGAGATATGATAACATGATTGACCGATCTTGAGTGAATGGGCTCTGACTCATAACACTCGTGCATGTAGCAGAAAACGCAGTGTTCCCTTCAGATCACATAATTCAGTGGAGAATTAATAGAAATGATATTCTGTAAAAACATGTGAGAATAAATCTGCTCTCGGATACCAATGATAACAAGAACTCAGCATTGCTCTCTTCCGGGATACTGTGTTTGTTTTGTTTTTGAAACAGTGCCACCAATCTCGCCTATTTGTGCAACAGCAGCTGCTCCAGGCGCATGATCTAAAGCTCAAATCTAATTGGATGGCCCGTTTCATCGCAGAGTGTCGGGGGGAAAATTCGACACACAGGTCGGAAAAAAATCCTTGATTTTTCACGCCTATTGTGAATGGCTCCATAGTGAACAATCGTTTTTGATTTAAGAGCGTCGTCGCGCTGAACATGCACGCCAAATTTTCACGTTCAGTGTGAAAGGGCCTTGAGAGTTCCTGAGAACCTACTAGAGGTCCTGTGAGCATGTGTGCATGTTTTATACATGAGTGTGAATGTTTGTTTATGTGCCTGCTTGTGTGGTCCCCTATAAACATTTAACTACAGCCAAACGCGTGTTTCTTGCTCAGAATTGGACTGGATGAATCATCCTAAATGAATGAAGCATGGGGCTCTTCCTGTGTTTGACTGTGTTAAGTGTGTGTAGTTGTGTGTTCTGTGCATAGAGTGTCTCACTTGGTCTTGATCCTGATGGTCTGGCAGCTACTGGCTGCCAAAGCAAACTGTGAAGATCTTTTCTTCTGCATTCCCAGAGTGGAGGAAGGGGTCCCCAAAGGGATACGCATGGACATGATGACTAAAATACCTATTGCAAATTCCATTGCTTATTATTAGGCTACTCAATTTAACACAGTAATTAATGTGATTTATTATTTTTAAAAAATAATGATGTGATAAAAAATGAATGCAATTAATTATTATTATAAAATTTTTATTTAACATGGACATCACAGTTACGTTGGACAAACCATATGCACTTGCTTAAGTGTTTTAGCACACATGCTAATTTTCAACCCCAGTCCCCGGGAGGCTTTTCAAAAAGCAAAAAAAAAAAAAAGCCACTGACTCTGTGAACTCATTTTTTTTTTGGTGCCGTCAGAGCAATTCAAGCATGAAATACCACTCTTATGCTTTTGCGAAGTCTGCTATTACTGCTATTACTGCTACTACGGGCAACATGCCTTGCCAATCCATACTTACTGAAAGCACACAGCATAGAAAGAGTGGAGCTGTGCACACAGGCCCAGCTCATGTATTCGAAAAACAGCTGGAAGGAACCCAGCAGAACAAAAAGTTCAAAGTTGAGCTAACTTTTCACAGCATCTTAAAGACAAACTTGAGATGCTGAAAAAGGTATTATGCAATTTGAATAAGATTTGGATTTGACAGCCCTACTTATTGTATGCTGTCAAACTCTTAAATATGTTTTTATTGTTCTTAAAACACTGTCTGCACAAAAAGAGACAGATCTACAGATCTTTTTCTGTAAGGCAGGCATTCAACCACATGTTAAAGCAAGTCCATATGAGAGAAGCTCCTTTTTCTTGCTAATTTGGCAGCCCAAGTCTTGAGAAAATACCCTGCACTTATATGTCTGTTACTGTGGTTAGTTGAGAGCCCAAGTGTTTGCCTGGATTTCTTATTTGGAAATGTTATAAAGTGCTCTCTCTTAAAGGAATAGTTCACCCCAAAATGAAAATATGTTGAAAATGTACTCACTCTCAGGCCATCTAAGATGTAGATGAGTTTGTTTCTCATCAGAACAGATTTGGAGTAATGTAGCATTACATCACTTGCTCACCAGTGGATCCTCTGCAGTGAATGGGTGCCGTCAGAATGAGAGTCCAAACAGCTGATAAAAACATCACAATAATCCACACCGCTCCAGTCCATAAATTAACGTCTTGTAAAATGAAAAGCTGTGTTTGTAATAAATTCATCAAGACGTTTTTAACTTCAAACTATTGGATAATATACAAGTCCTCCGTCCACAATATTGCTTTTTCTATTGGAAAAATCGTCTCATCTGAAACAGGAGAGAAATATGCACAGATCAAGCACCGTTTACAAGCAAATACTGCCTAAAACAGTTGTAAAGAAATATACTGGTGGATTTTGATGTGAGAGGACAACAAGGGATGGACTGGATGGATGGAAGCATTATTATTATTTATGGACTTGCATTTTGGCCAGGAGCGATGGTTTGAAGTTAAAAAGCAGCATTTCACTTTACAAGATGTTAATTGATGGATGTGGATTACTTGTGGATTATTGTGATGTTTTTATTATCTGTTTGGACCCTCATTCTGACGGCACCCATTCACTGCAGAGGATCCACTGGTGAGCAAGTGATGTAATGCTACATTTCGCCAAATCTGTTGCAATAAAGAATCAAACTCTTATTTCATGGCGTGAGTACATTTTCAGCTAAATTTACTCCTTTAACTCAGGTGTTCACTTGAAGGTGTAATGTGAGTGGCCAGCGTTTTGTCTGGGCAGATTAATGCATCAGTCTCATGCATTGTGCTAGTTTCCCACAAGACTATGAAGCTTTCAAGAGCTTCAATCCTTGTCCTTAAACCTGAGATGCACATTACATATCTTGCACATTACAGAGCTGAGAACATGTTCTTGTCATAATGACAGCACAAGAAAGCAACGGGAACAGCAGCTCAATATTTAGACACCGAAGTGAAGGGGAAGTTTTAGCCATAGGGGAACATACAGGATATCATTTGCTGAGATAATCAGTGGTTCGCTGACAGCCTGGAGTTGATTTATGGTTTCCAAAGTTCCTCCTGCAACACTTGATACTTTGCTTTTGTTTGTGTGTCAAAAAAAGAAGTAAAAGTAGAAATACAGAACAAGTTATTGAAATGGATTGATCGAGGGTCAGTGATATATATTGTATGCTGTCTGATAAACTATGCAATAATAGATTACTATGCAATAGTTTGTTTGGAAAGAAATTAATACTTTTAACCAGAGGATGAACATAGGCTTTAAATTGATCAAAAGTGACCGTAAAGTCATTTTTCTAAAAAAATAATAATTTTATAACAGTTTACACAAAAATATTAAGCAGCACAACTTTTGTCAACATTGATGATAATAAATGTTTCTTGAGCACCAAAGCATATTAGGATGATTTCTAAAGGATCATGTGACACTGAAGTCTGGAGTAATGACTGCTAAAAAAAACAGCTTTGGCATTACAGGAATAAATTACATTTTAAAATATCTTACAATAGAAAACAGTTATTTTAAATTGGAATAATATTTCACAAAATCACAGTTTTTACTATAATTTTGATCATATAAATGAAACCTTGGTGAGCATAGGAGACTTCTTTTAAAAATGTTCTATGTTCCTTATATTACATGTTTTAAAGCATGATATGGATTTTTACTGACATTTTCCAGGTATTACAGACCTTGTCTTGTGTGGTTTATAGTGGGGTTAATGGGGCTCATTGTAGTTGTGCTTGTTCTGCTGCCCTCTGCTGGTGGTGTTGAATGTGATGTGTGATGTGGCATTGTGAACGCCCCTTTCTCTGGCTTCAGCGCTCAGACCTCTAAAAACACCACACAGTCATATTTTGGCAAGCACAGCAAAGCTTGCAGCTATAAAAATGGAAATTCTGCATAAACAGCCATTTTCTAGTGTGTTCCCAATATGCTCCAGGACAGTTTTGGGACTGTGGTTTTGTAACTGACCAGATCCACTTAGACTTACTGTACTGACAGTTATAACCCAGCTTTCATTGTTTAAAGTACAAAAAAAAAAAGCTGTTGAATGTACATGTATGTGAATTCTATCTGCTTTTGTGAGCAAATCATATTTATAAAATCAAGTAACATTGATTTAAAGATTAGGTTTATAAAATATGTTGACATGTTTTTAATATGAGTTTGTGTTGCAATACGACTAAGTTGTGTTTGGTTTTAATTAGTCCTTCCTGAACTGATTTTTATTAGTTTATTAGTTTGTACTGAACCGTTAGAGCTTTCTAAATGTGATTTTTCCACAGCTGAGAAAAATGAAGAAAAAAAAATTCCTAGAGATGTGGCTATTTTTAGAAAGGAAAGAACACTCCAGAAAGTTTGTTTGTGGGTTTTCCACTTCAAATAAAGGAAAAAATGCATAATTTTTTCCCCCTATTGGCAACCATGAATTCCCTCCACACATGCTAAACTGCACCCACAGCATGTGACATGTTGTTAACCGTATCTGTAGTTTTGATTGGTGAATCTGTGCTCACTGTTTTCTGTCGTGGTGTCCCTCACAGGTGGATAACGCCAAGGTTCTTCACTATGTTGGAGCAGGGGTGGCCTTCCCCACCAGTATGCTGCTCGTGTGTCTGCAGTCTGCGCTGACCTACCGCCTGGCGAAGACTCAGGGAGAATATAATGTGGGTCATTTGCGCCTCTTTATGACCCTGCTGGCCTTTGTAGCCCTAGTGCTTAGTATCCTTTACACTATCACTCATCCTCATGTTATTATATGGGATATTTGTATTAGGGCTGTAAATCAGTTTAGGTTATTGCTGTCATAATATCAGATTTTCACTACATGATTATGGTGGCCACAATAATTCACAATAACGATATTAATGCAATAGCTATAGAAAAAAAAGGTCAAATCTATCTTTAACTTTGTTTATTTTGTTTTCTCTTTTTTTGGTCAATAAATCACAGGCAAAATTAGAGTGTAGGGAGCTGGAGAGAGAGAATTAATATGTTTAATTATTTGCTCTTTATTAATTTATTTTCTATTCATTATACCACCATTTCTCAAACCACCAAAACCAATATCAAAACAGCTGATTGCTTCTGTATGTTATTTTCATTTCTAAATTCATTTTCAAATATTAAACACTGATTTTAGATTTTTCAGTATGCATTTAAATGCACAGGTAATGCAAGCACCAACCTCATTGCAAATCTGCAAAGTAAAATAAATATTGTAACAATTTTGCCACACTTTATTCATATAATATTAAATTAGTAACAAAACGTTTTTAATTAGACTAAGCAACCAAAGCAAATTTGGTGAGTAGCCTGAACTTTTTTTTCTCAATTGGATTTGTTGAAATCAAATTGACTTTGGAGGGTGTGTGGTTGAAGTTAACAGAATTAAACAGCTATGATGTAAAAAAAAAAAAAAATGCATTAAAAACATTAATGGATTAATTTCGACAGCTGTAACCTGTAGCTGTTATTTTTTCATTGGTCATGTTTATTGTTGCAATATTCTCAGATCTCACTTATTCCAAGAATATCCTGTTGTATTGAGCTTTCAGGTTTTGCACTTCTTTTCTTTGCCAGTCAGTGAGTTTGTGCATGTTCTTCCTGTAATGCAAACAGGCCTTAGTGTTCACTATGATTCCTTGATGAAACTTTCCTCAGGCGGGGTGTTTTTTGTTCAGGAGAGTTTTGTCCTGCAACATGCATCAGCCATTTTCGAATGGGTCTTCTGTGTTATTATTATGCTGTTCTACGGCACATTCGCGTTTGAATTCGCCGGGATATCTAGTGACACAATGATGGTGCTGGCTCGAGGGCAATCTCTACAGTCCGTAAGCCGAGACCACAAAATAGAGTCTCTTGCTGGGGCCAGTCAGCACCAGCCTGAGAGCCTGTCCATACTGTAACCTCAGTGTCTCAGATCTGCCAATCTCCCTCAGCACTAGAAAAGAACACTACAACCGCAGAGGGAAAATGACAGAAACTGGACCTGGCTCTCATACAACCGGCTTACCTTTTGCCAAAGAATCCAGCTCAGATTTTGCACATTATTGAGAGATTTCTTCACTCTCTGGGGACCTTCTGAATCGCACAGCTTCCATACTGGGAAAAACAAAGTTGATTGCCTGGATGTGTTGGAGTTTCCATTAGATCTTATTGGGATTTTGAAGTATCTGTGTTACTTGGATAAAGGAACTACAGACTGCTAGTTGGCTAAACTACATGCGTCCATTGGTGAAACTAGAGGACCGCTGCAACAATAGCATAATAAACTAATCCGAAGCCTTCTGCAACCCTCAAGCATTTTAACAATGGTTGTTGTGCCAATTCCAAACATTGCAAGACAATGGATCCAAAAATGCTGATGTTTTTCTGTGCCTTTAGGGTTTTTTTTTTTTTTCAAAGGCAGTGATGGTTAAATCATATAACATTTTATTGTCACATATCTCTGCTGTTTGATAACTGATCAATGTGGTTCATTTTGCCTTAATCACCATATGCTGTCTGAAATGTATTTTTCAGGAGATTGCCATTACCAGTGTGCCTTATACCAAAAACCAAATACCGATATTTAATAGAAATGTATGTCAATTGCCTTGAATATATAAGGCATGTATTTTTTTCATATGCAGCAAAAATTATGCTAGTTGTAAACAGCTAAGCTGAACGAGATCCGCAAAAACTTCTCGCGAAACTGGTGCATAAACTTATCACATTAAGTCTCCAGTAATTGGTAGAGTCTATGAGTATTGCTGTACATTTTGACCAGATGTAATTGAGAAGAGAGTTCTGTGGTCAGTGTGATCATAGGTTTCTGTCACTGTGGGAATTATTGTGTGTTGAGTGGGGGGTTTACGGGAGTTACAAGGAAGCGTCTAGTAATGAAAGACTGAGTTTTCTCAGAAGCTGCCCTTTAATGTAAAAGGTGACTAGTTTAGGTGTCTTAGATGTACAGTAGGTCTCTGTGAGCTGTTTTTTTTGCAGACAAAATTAATTGCAGCAGGACTGCAAGTTTATAATTGATTTTGTTTGTTTTGAAAAAACTGATGCAGTTTAGTTTACATTGGTCACACTACACCACTAATGTTTTCACACTACCAGCATGACAAAAAAAATCATATTGTTCCTCAGTCATTATCAAGGGAGTTTTGTCATTTAATTTGCCAGGATAAGAGCCATATTTATGCTTCTCACCATTTGATTCCACCAGTGCTGTCCTGAAAACATCTTTCATGTCATTTCAGTTTACTAATTCTCTTTGCTCAGGAATTCAGATCTGTCTTTTGCTGTCACATATCTTCTCTCTGTGTTCCAGACTGCATTGATCCACCAGATATGAGTAAAAGTTTAACTGTTTCAGTTACTTGTTTAGAACATTTCCTTCATGTAGCCAGAGAGTTTTATTTTGCTTGGATTGCGTCATTGGGACTGTTAACCCCATAAATTGGTTTAATTTGTTGTTTAAAGGATTGTCTCAGAAGTACTTCTGATATTGCTTAAAGAAATAATTCATCCAAAAATAAAACTTCACCATATACTCAACTTCATTTTTTTTTAATTCAAATGCTATGATGTTCCCTGTGAAAGTCAAAAGAAGAAATTTGAAGCATTGTTGTGCAGCTTTATTCCACACCGGACAATTCACAGTAATGACCACCATAAAAGTAGCTCATAACACTCATTTGGTGTATTTCAATTGTCCAACAAGCAGTGTTTTTATTTATTTTATTTTTTTTGGTGCTTAACAGACATGGTCACCATGAGATGAATTTTTAAAGTAACAAGCAAAGAACCTGCATCTTCAAAAGTTTGCAACTATTCTCATTTTGTGTTTCAAAGGGGGAAAAAATAAACGTGAGGGTGAAAAAGTCATTTTTGACTAGTTAAGAAACCTGTTAAGAGTCATTTTCCTGCGTTACCTTTTGCCTAGACTTGTGTTCCTTCATTTATTATCTATTAAGTTTGCTTAAACTTGGACTCTGGAGTCTGACGGTCATCATTCAACAAGACTCTACAACACATTAGCATTTAATGATATACCAGATAGCAAAAAATATCTTCATGTGCCTTTGTTTCAACCAAAGATTGCATCACTCATTGGAGAAATGTTTTGGGGTGTTTGGTTGTGCTGTAAATTTGCCTTAAAATATATGGAAATAAAGCAGAATCAAACATTACTCTCATGAACTTTTCTCTTATCTCTGTGAATGAACTTTGCTTAAGTCATGTAGACTGTCACACAATTCCTGTTAGTGGTCATCATGGCCTTGGAGTTTATTTAAACACATTGAATTTGTTATTCTTGTTTGACTTATCAAATGCTTTGCTTCAGTCACGCTGGTTGGCATATTAACCAATAAATGAGTCATTTATTGTGTTTAAAGACATCCATTCTGACACCAGACATATATGAAGAATTTTCCACACTTTTAATTATTCACAATTATTTACATGTCAGATCTCAAATTCAATCTTAAAGACAAAAGTTGAACATCTGAAAGAAAACGGTAAGAATAAGATGGTTTATAGAGTTTTTAAGGGTTAATGCCTCTGACTCAGAAATCTAAAGAAAACAAATGAGTGGCTTTCACACACATCTCAAGTGTGCAACATTATCTGGCTTCGTTCATTACTGAAGTACATAAACACACATGCTCACTCTCCAGTGGTGACAATTAATGTAAGACCAGCACAGGATCTGTACACATAAACAGCAATATTCTAAAAATATCCCTCTGCCATTATCAAACATTAATGAGATTAATGCAGTCACAAATGAAGCATAAAAAGCGAATGTTCTTATGATGCAAGAAAAAGGCACACAAATGAGAGCCTTTTAAGACTGTAAATATGATGCAAGGAATATGATTCTCAGATTGTATAACATGTATAAAACCTAAAGCTCCCAATGGTTCACATTATGCTTATAACAACAGGTTGCTGTAACTCAGGTTACAGCCACAATGAAAACCCGATTAAATAGAAGCTATTTGACTCATGATAGAGGAAAAGAAATTGCAATGTAGTAAATTCCGAATAATTGTGATTTACATAATTTTAAGTATAAAGCTGAAATGTGTTTTTTTCCCCGTTTTTCCGAACCCTCCTCCGTTGATCGGAAAAACAGATAGGCTATTCCCGCCCAAAACTCCCGCCAGTGTTGCTGCTGACAGAGTAATATTTTGATAGCACCACAGAGTCACAGTACTTACAATTTTTAAAGTAATTAATCTTAGGGATGCACGATATATCGGCCACCATATCGGTATCGGC